TTGGCCTGCTGTGTTCATCCAGCTCTACACCTTGTTATTTCAGATTCTCCAGCTTCTGCAGTTCCTACTATCTCCGCTTCTTGATTATCCAGAATATATATGACCAACTGGCACATTCCTGGTCTCATAAGTGCCAGTTATTAAAAAGTTTGCTGTATGTTATTTCTATTGATGCTTGCTATTAAGATGTTTCTCAAACAACAATACTACTTTTCTTGCTCTTGGCAATAGTCTTTGACAATTTAGAGCAAGGCACTCTCCACAAAGTTTGTTAAACATTTCAACTATGGAATCCCATCAGGATGCCAATTCAGCAACAGCTTTAGCTGCAAATAATATTAATAAGTAACACACAAGTAGACACTACAATTACTGTCAGTGTTCCAAACCTCTGGAAAATGAGAGTCTGGCTCAAGTGGCAGCCACTGGTAAGATAACATGGGGTACACATACCTCAGATAGGAAAAGCATAAGCAGCTGCAATGACAATTCAATACTTTTTTTTAAAATACATACCATCGGCAATATGGGGTTCCTGAACATTTTGTTTTGAAAGTCCATCTCATTATTTCACCAATTTCAGTTGGATAACCCTCAACTGCAACTTTTTTGCACCAAAGCTAATTTCATTTCAAAGATCACACTTGTTTAAGGTGCTGTTTATAAAATAACATTGTAAAGTTGCATGTAGAATTTAAGTTTAATCTATTTTAGTAGTCAAGTTACTTCAGGATAATTATTTCGGCTCTAAACACATACCTGCGAATTTCACAGCAGTAATAGATGAGGAATGGTCATCCAGCGTCTGCACCAGGCTGTACTGCCTGTCCACGTTCAGTACATGAATCAAACGGTCTCTACTTGCTGTTGCCAACAGATTCATTCCTAAATAAAGTATATTAAAATACGCTGAACACCTGGTCAATGCCTGAAGAGGTTAAAGTAAATACTTTGTCTTTATTGGGTAAATTGTTCCAAGAAAAGAGGGAAGTGAATTTGAATTATTCAGTAACCTGCATGTAGTAAGGATAAATGTGTTAAAACTTCAGTAAATTTCACAACACAAAATTAGACTCACTCCATTTTTTAAGCCTCTCAGTTCTCATTGTTGGTTGGAAGATGGAAAATCTCAACACCAAGCAGAACTGTTAAAGTGCAAGAAGTTTAACATACCTACATTTAACAGAACATTCAAATAACAGCTTGAAATGCGAATGACTATTTCAACATAACATTGTATCAAAGGAATTAGGCATGGCCAAAGATTTCCAACAGACAAGGAAAAAACAAAATCAGAACAATTGTTTTGTGGTCAACCCTTCTAACACTAGCAACATATAATATATAGTGTTGTGGACCAGACTAAACTGCCTCAAAATATTCAGAAGATAGTCTAGACGCCAACCTTTTCTTATTTTAAAAGGTAAGGGTGAGGTGTTGCATTCCAGATGCAATTTGATTGGTCAAAACTAATTAATGGTTCCAATATAGTAACATCCCATAAACAGAGCCTTTGCAAAAGTCAAAATTCAGAAAACAGATTTTCCCATGCAACTCCAGGAGCAGGAACAGAACCCCCAACTTTTGCAAGTAACCAAAGAGACAGGGGAAAAAAATAGCTTCCACTTCAAGACCTCACCAGCAACTGCTGAAAGCTGGAACTAAATATCCTTGTTCTGTGGGAACTTGACCACACCTTGTTAGGCTGCTTGTATTGTTCTAACTTTTTAAAAAAAACCACAAAGCTTCACACGCTGTTTACTCTAGTAGCTCATTACCTCTACCTTAAAACCAATCTTAAAAAATAAAACCAGCACAATATATATCTCTTAAAACCATAGTTGTCACTGTAGATCCCACAATCTGTTTGGGATAACAAACAGGATAGACCATCTTAATTGATATCCATCTTAGTTGATAACCATAGATCATATCTTAGAATAGTACAGCATAGAAAAGGGTGGCTATTTGGCCAGACATAGCCACGCTGGCTCTTTGCAAGCACATTCACCCAGTTCCACTGCATTGTCATTTCCAGACCCCACTTGCTCTTCAAATAATTACCCAATTCTCTCACAGGCCACAATTGAATCTACCTCCCTCTTACACCTGTAATAAAGTATTCCAGATCATAACCACATGTTGCGCAAAACAAAGATTTTTCCTCTTGTTGCCATCGGTTCTTCTGTCAATTGCCTTAAACATGTGCCCTTAAATGTGCTCAAGGACGTAGCGGTGATCAGTTTTCTAGAACTGCTGCAGTCCACTTAAGGTAGGCTCACCCCCAAAATAGTCAAACAAGGAGTTCCAGGATTTTGTCCTAGGGACACCGAAGAAACAGCAATACATTTCACTTTCAAGATGGCAAGAGGCTTGGAGGGAACCGGAAGGAAGTGGTGCTCCCTTGCATCTGCTACCCTTGTCCTTCTAGATGGTAGCGAGCATGGATTTAGAAGGTGTTGAGAATTTTTGCAGTGCACCATGTGCTCACCAATTGTGCAGAACACCAATAGAGAATAGCCAACATTTTTGTTTCACCAAAAAGACTACGTCATCATTCAATTCAGAGACCAAAAAGATTACCAAAGTGACGAATATTGAAGATAACTGCAAGACAGATCACCAAGTCATCCACTCCTTCATGTCCATTAAATACCACCAGAAGAAGCTGAAGATAAAGAAACAGTTCTGGAAAAAGTTCCTGTTGCGCAGCTTCAATAACCAAGCAGACCAATAAACCTTTGACAATGACTTTACCAAAATCTCCAAAGTATTCATCTTAATGGACCAGAGGAAATCTGGAAAGTGCTGAAGGCTCCCATCATCTCATGCTATGAAGAAACCATGAGCAACAAAACCAGCATACACTAAGACTGATTCAACAAGAATGGCCAGATCATCCGAGAAAAGCTCTTTGTGCCTGGCAAAACAACATCAGCAAGGCAAACAGGAGAAATTATCGAACAGCAAAAGTGCGTTACAATGAAGAAATAAAGAAATCAAGAAATCAAGAACCAGCGATGGAATCAGAAAGCTAAAGAGCTGCAATTCTTGCCCACAAGCATGACACCCAGGTCTTCTTCAGTATCACCAAGGCAGTATATATCGACCCAGCACTGCTGGACTCAAACTGGTGCAGAGCAAGGATCAAACCCTTTTGAGAGACAGAGAAAACAGCCTTCGATGGAGAGAACACTGCAAATAACTCCTAAACCATGATACAATTGTTTGAGGAAAACTCCACAAAGATGATCTTGGATTACCACCTAGTATTGCAGAAATTGAAGCTGCCATTAAAGACATAAAGAATGGAAAAGCTTCGGGACTGGACAGGATTTCAGTGGAGATTTTCAAACTTTAAGAACAGCTTACTAATCATGTCCATCAACTGTTCTGGAAAATCTGGGACAAAGAAGAAACCCTTGTCGATCAAGGATTCTGCCATCGACACCTTCAAGAAAGAAGGCAAAGTGGACTGTGAGAGTTAATGAGGAACCTCCCTACTTTCCAGCGCCAGGAAGATAACTGCCCAAATCCTCAGAAGACACTTTCTCCCAGTCTCTGAAAAAAATCCTTTCTGAAAGCCAGTGTGGTTTCTAACAAAACTGTGTAACAATGGACATGATTTTTACTCTTTGACAACTCCAACAGGAATGCCAGGAACAATACCAATTACCCTACACGGCCTTCACTGATCTGACCAAGGCTCTCAACTCAGTCAGGAGGTGCTGTGGGAAGACCGTGTCAAAGGCCGGCAGTCCAGAGAAATTAATCAACATTCTCAATTTCTTGTACAACATGTCAGCAACAGCTTTACCAATGGTAATGTGTCAGAATCCCTCAAGGTCAAGACAGGAGTTAAGCAGGAAGGGGGTCACTGCTTCCTGCCTTTTTCTCTATCGGCATCACTATCATCCTTCACCTTGTCAAAAACAAGCTTCCCAGTGGTGTAGATATTGCCTGCAGGATGAATGGAAAATTTTTCAACTTCAACTGATTAAAATCCAGGAAGAAAATGACACTGACAACACTTACGGGACTTCAGTAAGCAAATGACAACATCATCGCCACATTCTCGGAATGCAACCTTCAAGCCTTGCTTAGCACTTTTGCAAAAGTACTACACAATTGGTCTCAGCCTCAAACTCAAGAACACTCCAGTTTTTTCTTTTAAAATCAACCTGCTCCAAGGCAAGTTCTGATTTAGCCCTCCATTCATATCAACAGAGTAATCCTCCCAAATGTGAAATAACCCCCCTTCTTGGGCAGCCACCTCTCAGCTAAAGTGGACATTGATTCAGAGATTGAACCAAGCATCTAATCAGTGAGAGTGCCACCTTCAGGTGACTAAGGATGAGAATATTCAACAGCCACAACATCTGCACTGATAAGATCAAAACGTAGAAGGCAGCCGTCTTTCCAACTCTTCTATACTGCTCCAAAACAAAGACACTTCAAAGCCCTGGGGAAGTAGCAATGCTGTTTGACGTGGATTCTCTACATCAGCTGGAAGGGTAGGCATACTAAGATCAGCATCTTTGAAGGAATCAATAGCATCAGCATTGAGGCTATGATCATCTGAAACCAACTCCATTGGGCTGTCATATGCAAAGAATGCCCGAATTCTGACGACCAAAGTAAATCATCTTTGCTCAGCTCAAGGAAGCAGTTGAACATGAGGAGGACAAAAGGAATTGTTTCAAAAGCACTCTGAAGACTTACTTCAAGAAGTGTAACATAGACATCAACCCCGGGAGACCCTCGTTCAGAAGAAACCAACTGTGAGGAACTTCCTGTATGAAAGCATACAATTTTTCGAAAACACTCATCAGCAACAGGAATTACAAAAGAGGAACTTGAGAAAGCAATGCCAACAAACAAGGTCAACAACCAATTATACCTCTCAAACACCTGCCAAGTGTCTGGTCAGAATGCAGCAATGGGATTGGGCTCATCAACTACAAGAAAGGATCCAGAAAACCATGACCAATGACATGGAATTTCCTAGGTGGACAATATTACTCATTAATAAGTGATTGCCAATGGTGGCGAAGGGTGTGAGTGTTTGTGGATGTGTTGCAAAATCAAGTGGCTGCATTGCCCTGGATGGTGTTCAGGCCTTGAGTGTTATTGGAGCTGCACTCATCCAGGCAAGTGGGAAGTCGGGAGGGGAGTTATTGAAAAGATTCCTAGCCTCTGACCTGCTCTTGTAGACAGCATTTTTAATATAGCTAATCCAGTTTTTGCTTCTGGTCAATGGTATCTCCCAGGATGTTGAGAGTTAGGGAATTCAGTGATAACGCCATTGAATGTGAGGATGCGTTGGTTAGATTCTCTCTTGTTGGAGATGATCATTGCCTGGCTCATGTATGGCATAAATGTTACTTGAGCCACTTGTCAGCCCAAGCCAGGATATTACCCATTATTATGTACTATCCCTGAGGATCTTCTGCAGACATGTCCTGGAGCTGAGATGACTGCCCAATAATCATGTCCCTTTATACCACTCAAAACAGTGGAGAGGATTCCCCGATCTCCATTGACCGTTTCTCCTATTTACCCACATAACTCAAGTTCCTTGTCCCCAGCACCATTCTCAGAAGGTTTTCTCTTTATATCCTTTTCAGGTAATGGGTTCAGAAATGGACACATTACTTCTGTCAACATGAACCACATTTTAACCTAAAAAGGAGTTCAAGAAATCAAAAAACTATCACTGCAAACAACTGCATACAATTCTGGTCACCCTGCTATAGAAGGATGTTATGAAACTGGAAAGGATGCAAAAAATATTTACAAGGATGTTACAGAGACCAGAAGGATTGAGTTACAAGGATTGGCTGGGACTTTTACCCTGGAGCGGCTGGGACTTTTACCCTGGAGCATAGGAGGCCGAGGGGCGACATTATAAAATCATGAGGGACATAAACAAAGTGAATAGTCCAGTTCTTTTCCCTGAGCGGAAACCTTTTCCACACAGAAGGTGGTGCATATATTAGAATGAGCTGTCAGAGGAAGTGGTAGAGTTGGGAACAATTACAACATTTAAAAGACATTTGGACAGATACATAGATAGGAAAGATTTAGAAGGATACGGGCCAAACGCAGACAATGGGACTTGTTCAGTTCAGGAAACCTGGTCAGCATGGACAGGTTGGGCTAAAGGACCTTCTGTGCTGTATGACTATGACTCTAAATGCACTTCAATTATAAACTGCATTCTTAACTGTAGCACCCATCTGTAACACTGCACTGGTAACAGAAAATTAGTTTCTTGTAAAACTTTAAGAATAAGATTTTTAATATCATGCTGTATCACAATATAATTGTGAAATTCTCAGATAAGGCTATAGTCTTTTGCCAATCGCTGTTGGGATGAAAATCTCAACAATTCAAATTCAATACTCAATCCCAGTTTCCCGTGATAGCTACAATGTTAAAATAGCTAGCGCAATGACGAAGCAGTATCACAGTTTTATGTTAAACTCATTTACAGTCAAGTTATTGGTGCATCTGTAGTCTCGAAACTAGTACAGTTCAAATAACAACACTGGAGGCAAGAGCACAAAAATGTCAACCATATTTAGGTACAAAACAACACACAGTTATTCAGAAGCCAACTCAAGATCAGCAGCGAGTCAAATCAATAGCAAGAAAAATCAAACAAATCTAGAAGCAGTAGTCAAAAGAGTAAATAGTGAAATTCACACAAGTACGCACCTGTTTCAGGCTTAGAATACTCCAGGCATAAAATCTCAGAGTCATGAGCTTCAACTTTCATCAGTTCATCCAAGAATTGCAGGTCAAAGATTCTGAAAGCACAAGGCACAAGGATAAAATCCAACCAACAATTGTTAACTATTTTGAGAAACCCTAAAGCACAACATTTAACAAAAATATTTGTTACATAATTCCCTATGCAGAAGCTCTACAGGAGATGCTTCAATGCAGATTGAACCACTCAAAGCAGCAGTCTACCACAGCTTTCTAAAGGGCAAAAGGGGTGGGCAACAGAACCACATCCAGAGAACTAACTGAATAATGCACAAGACACAAAAATATAAATCACAAGAGGAAGATTGCAGGAGTTTGAGGGCATTCAAAACATCAAACTTATTAAGTTTTATACTTAACCTATCGTATATAGGGAGATTGCAAGCGTGTCAAATAAAAATAGCCATTCCCAATCTTGACCAATATAGACAATTAATATACAAATAAGTACTAAATTTTCTTTTACGTCTTCCCTGAAGTGATGTAATGGTGATCTACTAAAAATTTCCTTCTTCCACCTGTTGATCCAGTTTGATTACTGTTAAAGTGTAGGATTCAGTATATTGTAGTAAGCTGTGGCATAAACAGCACACCTTTCTAGGATTAACTCAGGAAAATGAGGTTATTGGCCAAGTCCTGGAAAATGGGGTTAGAATAGGTCGGTGTTTGTTTTGATTAGCACACATGTAACAAAGGACGTTTTTCAGTACGGAAGATCTCTGACTCTGAGTAGCTCCCTTTTAAATCAGTGCAGCTATGTGACAGTCCAAAAGTACCTGCACAAACCAAGCACAAATTAACCTTTTTCAGTGTAGGTGTAGGTGTGCAAAAAAATTAATCATACACTACTATGAAACTGAAACATCACGCTCTTCAGCACAAAGTACCTTGAGGACTCTTTTCATGACCATCCAGTCTGAAATCATGAAACTTCCACTTTCAGCAGAACACAGGCTGCCAGTACTATTATGCAGAAGAATGAGAATTTAAGATCAAAAAACATCCTGTATTCTAGCATCATGTGTACCTCAGGGTGCCCATCCTATCTCCAGAAGCGAGGTGCTGCCCATCAGGACTGATGGTTATGACCCGAATTCCTGACTTTATCTCTGATGTTCCTCCATTTTCAGTTCGGTCAGGGTTGCTGGTTGTATCTTGGAGATGCTGGATATTGTCATCAACATACACAACTTTAATCAAGTCCTAGAAGAACAAACATGAGTCAAACACTCAGGCTAAGAGGGCATTAAAGGGCAAGCAATGCAAGACGCAACACTGTTTTATTTTCCAGGGGAAGCATTATTTGGAGTTTATCACATGTATTAAAGTTTGGAAAAAACAAACTTTGTTTGAATACTTCACAGTTTATAGTTATTTAAGCCAAACTCCAAAACCTCCATTTTGCAATCCAGCCTAAAGGACTCCCAAGCTCACCTAATAGTTTATCCAGCTTAGTGTACAGCAATTGCTTTTTTAACTTTAATCCTAATTCTCAACCTGCAAGAATTGGAAATCAAACAACTGTACCAAATGTAAATAAGGGCAATTACAAAGGAATAAAAAGGCGGAGTTGAACGGAGAAAGGAGTTTAGCAGATGTTGGACTAATGGCAAACATTTAAGAAAAATAGGTCATGACTCAACAAGCTATATCCCAGTGAGAAAGAAGGATTCTAGAAAGACAAAAAGGATAAGCCACAAAACCATAAGATACAAGAGTAGAATTGGGCCACTCAGCCCATCAACTCTGCTCTACCATTCGATCATGGCTGATACGTTTCTCAATCCCATTCTCCTGCCTTCTCCCTGTAACCTAGGATCTCTTACTAATCAAGGACCCCTCTCTATCTTAAATACACTCAATGACTTGGCCTCCACAGTCTTCTGTTGCAATGAGTTCCACAGATTAACCACCCTCTGGCTGAAGGAATTCCTTCTCATCTCAGTTCTAGAGTCACTCTGCACCCTGAGGATGTGCACTCCTAGCCTCTCCTACTAGTGTAAACATCCTCTGCACATTCACTCTATCCAGGCTTCTCAGTACTCTAAGTCTCAATGAGATTCTCCCCCTTTTCCTTCTAAAGTCCATCAAGTACAGACCCAGACTCCACAACCACTTTATATGACAAGTCCTTCATTCCTGGTACCATTCTTGTAAATTGGGTGCAGCTGCAACAACACTCAAGAAGCTTCACACTATTCAAGACAAAACAGCTCACTTGATCAGCACGACATTCACTGCCTTCACCACAGAGGCTCAGTAGCAGCCATGTGTACAAGCTACACTTCAGAAATTCACCAAAGATCCTTAGACAGCACCTTCCAAACCCACAACCACTTCCATATGGAAGGACAAGGGTAGCATACATCACCTCTGCAAAGTCCCCTGCAAGCCACTCACTATCCTGACTTGCAAATATATTGCCATTCCTTCAGCGTCAATGGGTGAAAATACTGGAATTGTCTCCCCAGGGGAGAATCAACCTACGGCACATGGACTGCAGCAGCTCAAGAAGGCAGCTCATCACCACCTTCTCAAGGGCAAATGGCAGGCAATAAATGCTGGCCAGCTAGCAATATCCATGTCCCATGAGTGAATATGAAGAAAACCTTCTTTGGATCCTCTCCAAGGCCAGTACATCCTTCCTAAGATACGAAGCCCAAAACTGCTCATGATATACTGAATGCAGTCGGACCAAAATGTCTTATACAGATTCAGCTACTCTTGTATTCCAGTCCTCTCAAAATAAATGCTAGCATTGCATTTGCCTTCCTGACTGCCAACTGAACCTGCTTGTTAACCTTGAGAGAATCTTGAACCAGAACATCAAAGTCCCTTTGTACCTCAGATTTCTGAAGCCCTTCCCCATTCAGAAACCAACCATTGTTACCCAGGGAAATGAAGGATAGCATCAAATTGAAACAGGGTGGGGGACAAGTGGTGGAGAGAGTGCAGCAACGATTAGTGATAAGCCAGCGGACTGGTAAAGCTTTAAAAATCAACAAGACAACCAAACAATAAAAGGACAACGTAAAATTGGAGGGTAAACTTGCCAGTAGTATTGAGGCAGGCAATAGGAGCTTCTTTAAAGTGAACATAGGCCACTTTGAGCACGAGGCTTGGGAAACAATAATGAGGATCCAGTATTGGCACACGAGTTGAATAATTATTTTTTCCATCAGGATTCACAGTAGAATACATTCAAAAAATAAGAAATTATTAAAGTGCAAAATGGAGAGGAAAGAAACAATAATCATTGCTAAAGAAAAAGTACTTGAAAAACCAATGACTAGAAGTAAACAGGTCCCTTGACCTAAAAGGATGCATCTTAGGATATTAAAGGAAGTAGCTACAAAGATAGTGGAAGTAATCTTCCAGGAATCCTTAGACTCTGGAAAAGTCCCAGAGAATTGAAAAAATTATCACTTTAACAAGCTTATCAAAAAGGGGATAGAGACAATAAATAGGTCGCTATAGGTCTAGCAACTTAATGTTTGCTATTGGGAAAATATTAGTCTAATTTAAAGGATGTAAAAGCAGAGAATCTAGAAATACAGAATGTAATCAAGTAAAGATAGCATAGCTTCATGAAGGGGAAATCATTTCTGACAAATTTATAAGGATTCCTTGAGTTGGTAATAAGCAGGCTAGATGAATGAGAATCAGTAGATGTAATATATTTGGATTTCCAGAGGTGGTTGATAAAAGTACTGAACATAAAGCTACTTAATAAGAGCCCTCTTAATAAGAGAGGTTGCAGATAGTATATTAGCATGGACTGACTAATAGAAGCCAAAGTTGGGACAAGGGAGCATTTTCAGAATGACAACCCATATCTCGTAGAATCCACAGAAATCAGTACTGTGGCCACAATTGCTTACATTCCATATTAATGACTTGGATGAAGAAAATTAAAATACTATCGCCAAGTCTGCAAATGACAAAAATAAGTGGGAAGCAAAAGGTGAGGATGACAGAGTCAGCAGAGGAATATAGACACATTATGAGTGGACAAAAACTTGGCCGATAGATTATAGTGTGGGTAAAATCTGCACTTTTTCAGGAAGAATAGAGGATTTGAATATTATTTAAAGACTGCAGAAATCTGCAACACAAAGGGTTTTCAGAGTCCTCGTGCATAAACAACAAAAAATAAGTATCCAAGTCCAGTATGCAATAAGGCAGGCAAACAGAATGGTGGCCTATATTTCAAAAGGGATTATAAATAGGAAAGTCTTGCTAAATCAATTCAAGGCACCAGTTAGAACACATTAAGAATACATGATCAGTTTTGGTCCCCTAATCTAAGGAAAGGTATGGGTACTGGAGGCAGTCCATGATAGGTTCACTAGGTTGATTACAGGAATGGAGGTTGTTTGAGGAAAAGTTGAGCAGGTTGGGCCTGTACTCACTGGAGCTTAGAAAAACAAGAAACAATCTCACTGAAACATACCAGATTCTCAGATGGCTTGATAGGGTTGATGCAGACAGGTTATTTTTCTTTTCAGGACAGTGCATAATCCCACAATAAGGGGTCACCAAATTAGGATACAGAGAAGGAACTTCTTTTTACAGAGGGAATAAATCAGTTCTGAGGAAGGGTCACTCGATCCGAAATGTTAACTCTGATTTCTCTCCAAAAATGCTGCCAGACCTGCTGAGTTTTTCCAGCAATTTCTGTTTTTGTTTGTGTTTGTAATAAATCTGGATTTTTTTTTTTAACTGCAGGAGGCTATGGCTGCGTTACATATATTCAAGACAAAATAGACATATATTTAAATCAGTAAGGAAATTAAGGGTTATGGGGTATAGGCAGAAAAGTAGAGCTGGAAGTTTCAAGAGCAGCCGTTATCTCATTAATTGGCAAAGATTCAATGGACCAAATGGTTTAATTCAGCTCCTACATCATATATGTTCAACATAATATGTACATCCTATTTTGCCACACTGTTGGTGCTAATAAGCAGCACAACACAAGGTTCCAAGTCGTGGAATGATCCTTGCTGCTCTTCTCAATTGTCTTTAAACAGAACTAAGGCCTCTCTCTCACCTGACTCACCTAGCCACAGTGCTGCTGGGTAGGATTCCTTACACAATATTACAGCTATTGCAAACGAGCATGCACATGAATTAAATGTATTAATAAATATCTTAATCATGAAAAAATAATTTTACCCTTTGGACAAAGTTCACTACATCAGGATTAGGGTATGAAAAGGCAGGGGGACAGCTCTTACCGTACTATAAATATTCCTGTGGAACGAAGTGAGCTGAAATCCAGAGGCTGCACCAACATTCCATAATCTTATAGTATTGTCCGATGAGCAAGTTAGGAAAGATGCAGAGGGCAGGCAAGCTTGACTACTATTTTCCAATTCTGGATAAACCTGAAAATTTAATAATAAAGAGGTTAATACAACATTTACACTTCATCCAACAACAAAATATTGCAAATCAACATGCCTAAATTGTGCACAATATACAAACAAGCTTAAGCAGCAATTATGGGAGGTTGATTTGATGCAAGTAAACAACCCATCAAAAAAGGCTTTTCATAATTGCTTGACCATTTCTTGGGCGGGTGGTGGGGGAAGGGTGTTGCAGGGGAAATCAGAATCAGAATCCCTAGTGTGGAAGCAGGTCTTTTGGCCTATCAAATCAACACCGACCCTCCAAAAAGAGCATCGCACCCAGATCCAAGCCCCTAACCTATCCCTGTAACCCTGCATTTCCCATGGGAAAGCCACCTAGCTTGCACATCCCTGGACTCTATGGGCAATTTAGCATGGCCAATCCACCTCACTTGCAGATCTTTGAACTGTGGGAAGAATTGGGAGTGCCCAGAGGAAACCCACGTAGACATGGGAAGAACATGCAAACTTCACACAGACAGCAACCAGAGGATGGAACAAGCCTGGGTCCCTCATGCTGTGAAGCAGCAGTGCTAAGTACTGAGCCACCGTTCTGCCCAACAAAGTTGCATATGGTCCTCAAGCAAAGTTATATGCTGGACATTTCAAATTGGTTGGGGGTAATGAAGGACAAAAGAATCATCACGTGAGTACGGCCACTTTCAGAAATATGCACTCCAAATCTAGGAGTCTCTCTTGCTTGCTTTTCAAATTTATGCAAAACTGTATTTGATCTGTATAGAAGCAGCAAACTCAACTAAAAGCCAAGGAGAAATGGATTAGACGCCGTCACCACTTTGTAAAGGCTACAGCGATTAACTGTACCAAAACCCTAACACGTATACCATTGTGGATATTGTTTGGTGGGGTGGGGCGGGGTGTGTGTGCGCGTGAAGGAGACCTATCAGGGGATTAACAGCAGCAGCAGCCAGACTGGCGGCACCATGGCTGGTTCTGTTCTTAAGAAGGGAAGGACAAAGAGCACTAGAGCAGTAGTTATAGGGGACTCTACAGTTAGGGGTACAGATAGGTGCTTCTGTGGACGTAAAAGAGACTCCAAGATGGTATGTTGACTCCCTGGCACCAGGGCCCAGGATGTCTCTGAACAGGCAGAAAGCATTCTGAAGGTAGAGGGTGAACAGCCAGAGGTTGTGGTACATGTTGGTGCTAACGATATAGGTAGGATGAGTGACGAGGTCCTGAAGCAGCAGTTCAGGGAGTTAGGTACAAAGTTAAAGAGCAGGACCTTCAAGGTTGTAATCTCAGGATTACTCCCTGTGCCACGTGCCAGTGAGGCTAGAAATAGGAGGATAGTACAGCTCAACACATGGCTAAACAGATGGTGTATTCTGGAGGGTTTCAGATATCTGGACCATTGGGATCTCTTCCGGGGCAGGTGGGACCTGTACAAGGACAGGTTGCATCTAAACTGGTGGGGCACAACTATTCTGTCTGGGAGATTTGCTGGTGCCACTCGGGAGGATTTAAACTAGCTTGGCAGGGGTTGGGAACAAAAGCAATGGTGAATCGACTGAAAGGAAACTAGAGAATAGGGCTAGTAAGACTTGGAGGAAGAGCAGGCAGGGCGTGGTTGCAGATCAAAGCGGGTCTGGTGGACTGAAGTGCATCTGTTTCAATGCAAGAAGTGTAACAGGTAAGGCAGAAAGGCAGATGAACTTAGAGCTTGGATTAGTACTAGGAACTATGATGTTGTTGCTCTTATAGAGACTTGGTTAAGGGGAGGGACAGGATTGGCAGTTTAACATTCCAGGATACAGATGTTTCAGCCAGGATAGAGGCGAATATAAAGGGAGTTGCACTACTTGTTAAGGAGAAAAATCATAGCTATACTGCAGGAGGACACCGCGGATGGCTCATACAATGAGGCAATATGGGTAGAGGACAGGAACAGAAAGGATACAGTCACACTGTTTGGGGTTTACTATAGGCCTGCCAACAGCCAGAGATAGAAGAACAGATACGTAGGCAGATTTTGGCAACCTTGGATAACGAGAGATATTATATGACTAAATCAAGAAGAGAAAGGAAGCATTTAATCAAGGTTAGGAGGCTGGGAACACACAAAGCAAGGGTGGACTACAAGGAAAGTCGAAAGAAACTCAAGCAAGGAGTCAGGAGGGCTAAAAGGGGTCATTAAAAGTCATTGGCCAACAGGATTAAGAAAAATCCCAAGGCTTTTTATACATGTATAAAGAGCAAGAGGGTAGCCAGGCAGAGGTTGGCCGACTGAAGGACAGGGAAGGGAATTTGTGTGTGGAGACAGAGGAAATGGGCAAGGTATTAAATGAGTACTTTCCATCAGTATTCACCATAGAGAAGGACTTGGTGGATGAGTCTGGGGAAGGGTGTGTAGATAGTTTGGGTCATGTTGAGATCAAAAGGAAGGCGGTATTAGGGGTCTTGTCTGCCTTAATGTTTTTCAAGTCCCCAGGGCCTGATGGGATATACCACAGAATACTGACAGAAGCAAGGGAGGAAATTGCTGGGGCCTTGAGAGAAATCTTCAGAAATTTACAGGCTGGTGAGCCTTACGTCGGTGGTGGGGAAATTATTGGAGAGGATTCTTCAAAACAGGATTTACTCCCATTTGGAAATAAGTCAACATATTAGCAAGAGGCAAATGGTTTTTTGAAGGGGAGGTTGTGTCTCGCGAACTTGGTTGAGTTTTTTGAGGAAGTGATGAAGATGATCGATGATGGTGGGGCAGTGGATGTTGTCTATGTGGACTTCAGTAAGGCCTTTGAGAAGGTCCCTCATGGCAGGCTAATACAGAAGGTAAAGTCGCATGGGGACAGAGGTGAGCTTGCAAGATGAATAAAAAAAACTGGCTCGGTCATAGAAGACAGAGGATAGCAGTGGAAGGGTGCATTTCTGAATGGAGGGCTGCGACTAGTGGCGTTCCTCAGGGATCAATGTTGGGACCTTTGCTATTTGTAATATATACGTATATAACATATAAATGATTTGGAAGAAACCGTAACTGGTCTGACGAGTAAGTTTGCTGATGACACAAAGGTTGGTGGAATTGCAGGAACGATGAGGACCGTCAAAGGATACAGCAGGATATAGGTCGTTTGGCAACTTGGGAAGAGAGATGGCAGATGGAGTTTAATCTGGAAAAATCTGAGATAATGCATTTCGGAAGGTCTAATCCAGTAGAAGATATACAGTAAATGGCAGAACCCTTAAGAGTACTGATACGCAGAGGGATCTGGGTTAACAGGTACACAGGTCACTGAAAGTGGCAATGTAGGTGGAGAAGATCGTCAACAAGGCATACAGCAAGCTTGCTTTCATCAGCCGGGGCACTGTGTTTAAAATTTGGCAGGTAATGTTGCAGCTTTATAGAGGCTTAGTTAGGCCGCATTTGGAACATTGTTTTCAATTCTGGTCGCCACATGACGAGAAGGATGCGGTAGCTTTGAAGAGGGTGACAGGCAGCAAGTCGGTGCAGGTTTGAAGGGCCTGTTCCTGTGCTGTAATTTTCCTTGTTCTTTGTTCTAACCTCGCTGGAGTTTGAAGACCCTCCTCTGTATTTTTTAAGATTATAGTTAGGAGGATTTCAAAAGTATCCTGAAAGTACACTTTAAACAAGAGTATGACTGGCTATATCGCTCCACAGACAGCCAGCATGGGTTCAATGAGCTGAACAATCTCCTCCTTTTGTTTGACAACTCTGCAAAATTACTGCTCCACACTGCATACAATCTCCCAGCTTTAAACCAGATGTCCTATAAACAGGTGCCCACATTTAAATAGTGACCGCATTCAAGCACATGTAGGATGAAAATCCTCCACTGGGCAGCCAGCAGCGAGATCGGGACCAGGCAGCCCAGGGCGAGCAAAAGCGAGAGCGGGAGCAGACAGCCCAAGGCAGTGATGGTAGCAGGAACAGGCAGGCCGACGTGGCAAGAGCAGGCAGTCTGGGGCAGTGGACGGAAAATATTCAACATGATGTTCAGTTACGAGTGGTGTACCACAAGGATCTGTTCTGGGTCCTCTTCTTTTTGTGATTTTTGTAAATTATTTGGATGAAGGAATGGAAGGGTGGATTAGCAACATCCTGGTAAATCTCCTCTGCACCTTTTCTAACGCTTCCACA